GTCGAAATTTTTCCTATGTCTGGCATAATTGATCTATCCTAGGGCCATGTACTGACCTTTTAGCACTCCCATTATCTAGTTTATTTCAATCTTGCTCAATCGGCCGATCTTTAACTAAGAATCGATTTCGGCAAGGTTTTAAAATATCATCTGACTTCGATGCTCAGGAGATCTTGAATTTAGCTTAACGAGATCTTAAGGCTTAACCGACCCTACTATCAAAGATATCTCCAAATGTTTTCTGCTTTGGAAATCCTATTGCAACAAATGACCGACGAGAGGTAAATTTTTTCTCGTGACAAAATTAGAAGGGATTGAAAGAAACAAACGGGTCGTTGGCAGATTGTAAAAAGATGTAACAAAACGTTGAGGATCATAGTAAGTTCTTTGAACATCAAAGAAAACTTTTATCGAAACTTTGCTAATCTAATGACACCTTGGTATGGCAGTTGCGCTTTCGCTGGCTTCCCTTTTTGGGGTGTGAATAAAAATCCTTCAAGTGACCTACTGGGAGGCAGAAAGAAGTAAAGCTCCGTAATGTTTCTATAGAAATCTCTAAGTTTTAGTGTTGGATGATTGATGAGTTAGGATTAGCGTCCGGACATAAACCCACAATATCTATGAGTAATACCCAAAATCTTTGTATGGTCCAAGAATAGATACACATTACTTAGACTTAGTACTACTGCCTATAGCTAGCAACTATCCCTTTGTCTCTGAGGAAGGAACAAAGGAAAGATGTCAGCATGGACACCGCCTAACTCTGTGACTTTAGTCCAAACGCCAGTCATAAACCATGAAAATCTCTAGCTCATCTCTGTGAATTTTGTTCTTTTCATCCCTATCCTAACTGAACGTTGAGTAACGTGAGCAAAGAAGAAATATTGATACTTTTAGTGCTCCAAAATACTGAGCCTCTTTTGAGCACCTCATTTATAGCCTTCAAAACTGAGCCTCTTTTGAGCACCTCATTCATAGCCTTCATAAGCCAGAGCATTCGGCACCTTTCCATTTACTAAATAAGAGCAAACCTCATTTCTAGTGAGCGCCTCAGGTTATGCAGCTCAATCTACAACAAAAAATTATTTATCATCGCGGAACTTAGCCGGAAGATAACCGATTTTCCTCGCATCCCGCTCGCGCCGGGTTTGCTACGCAAGTTAGTTGTCTCTAGAATCCTTTATTCCAAGCAATCCTAAGCTCTTTCAACTGAGCTCTGATTTTGTCCATTCATTCCATATATAACCTTTATGTTCTTTTCTTACAAATTGTGGCAATGCCAACTCCTATGAAAATTCAGCATCCATCCAAGCTGCGCTTGTCCTGTTCAGTAGCTCGTCCTGAACTCCTCCTCCGAAGGATTCGACTTCCTAGATATTTGAAGAATTGTGAACTTGACTGCCTCCTCATGGACATGCATGGCCAGGGTTTGACTTCCACTTCCATGTATTCTATCTTCTTGACGGACAGCTTCATGTCGTACAACACTAGTTGGGTTCACCATCCTTGTACAGCCTTTTCAAGTCCTCTTCTACTTTCTGCTAAAAGGAATACCATTTGCGACCAGAAAAGCCTATAAAGGATGTCGTTTACCTTCCTTTACTGCGTCTTGACTGGGACGAAGAGTAGAAAAGAAAACACCGATTCCCGGTGTATACCGATCTTTATGCCAGATAACTTTGTCTGCCCTGTTGCAGTTTGCTCTTGGCTCGTGGCTTCGTGATGTATCTCTTTATCTAATGGATGAATACTTCTAGAACCATGTGCTTCCATAGTGTGCATCAATCACACCATAGAGTGCCTTGTTAAAAGCTTTCTCTTCAGGAAGCCGCATGTAGCTCCCTTTGTTTTCCCCTATATTTCTCCATCACTACCCGTACAGTGCGGATGGTGTCAAGTACCGGCATCTTCTACAGATCTGCAATGATTAAGTGACAATTCTATGATTGCCTGAATTCCTGTTTCTCCCTATTAAATACTCTTTCAAAGATCTTCAAAGTGTGGCTTATCAGCCGGATTGGTCGGTATGTTGCAAAATTTGCGATATCGTCTTCATACTTACACATCCAAATCGTCGCGCTCTTGGCATGCATAGCTGTGATGAGATCAAAGAGACTGCAAGCCAAGAGGCACCAAACCGCCCAAATCCTTTCCCGAATTCGCGTAGGATATCATTTAGACCGGTAGCCTTACAGGCACTTGTTTTCCATCGCAGGACTCCATCTGCTGTAACGTGTGGTACCGGTCCTTTCACAGAATAAGGATGGGATGGCTGTTTCAAAACTAATAAAAGACGAAGTTTCTTTAAAGTGCTTCGCCATTCTCAGTTATATCCTGTTATCTTCTCAACAACTGTCTTTTTAGGCTTGTCCCAGCAGTTTTCCATATCTTTTGCAGATTCCGTACTTCTTTTCGTCATTCGGTAAATCTTCGCCCCTTACAAGATTCATGCTAAATGTGCGAGTTTCGCTTTTGCAGCGTTACCAGATATGCTGCAGATCACTTTCCGATTCAGACTTATGCCATTTGCATGTATGCCCACTTCTTTTCCTTTATCGCCGCTTGAACTTCTTCACTCCACCACCATATTTCTTTCCCAAATCTTTCTGGTTCAGTGCAACCTATGAATGCTGGCGATTTGGTGGAATTTGCTCTTTGAGATTGACCATGACTGCTCTGGTCTCCATTGTAAGAGTAAAAACTTAGCAGTGCTTCCTTCGTTAAAGAGCTTACTTTTAACTTCTATAATTTAATTCAGCTTTTGTCAGTCAATATTTCCTTTGCCTGTCCATTTAAAAGCTGAGTACTGGAAGTTGGTTTTTGTTGAAGTACGCAGTTTCACTTAGAACAACTGCATTCTTAGGTCATGAAGCACTACCTAATAGTTAGTTTATGCCCAACCGTCTCCTCCTGAGTACGTAATCAAGTGCTGATTTTTCTTGCTGTGGTACGGCGCTAATGCTGAGTCATAAGCTGTAAACTCGAAAATACATTGGCCCTTTCTACTGCATATTCACATCCATGGTTCCCATGACACTTCTTGCACTATTTCATTCGTAGCTATCAGGTCTC